TAAGTTAGTTTTCTGATATATGTGAAACCTTCAAATGCTTTGAACTGAGCTATCCAGTGTTCTCTAACTGCATCAGGCCTGGAGTTTACGAATATATTGATCAGTGGATAAGACTCAGCATACGTTGTGAAGTAGTTAATTGCTATGGATATATACAGATAACCTTGTTCCATCTCCAGGAGTGGACCAGTGATATCGAGAGCTATTCTCTGTAGGAGAGAACCTACAATTATCTACTGGTATTTTCTCTGTTTATGCTACCTATTTCTCTGGGTAACACTCTCCTGGTATCAACACTGAATTTCTCAACTCGAATGTGGGCCATTGAAATTACCATCAAATGTTAGCACAAGTGTGAGGAACACTTTGATGCCTTCTAGTCTTTGTGCTATGTAAAGTCAGGAGAATGTCCTGCTTTAAAGCTCTGGGGAACTACTACAGCTCATTGGCAGCCAATAATAGTACAGCACATCTTCTCGCACTATCAACTGTTTGCACAAATATCATCGGTAGCATGCATCCCTGCTACCTTCCTCAATCTGAGCTGTTTAACCTTTTATATGGCAAAGAGCACCCGTACCAGATCCGTATCCTTCAGTTGCTCCTCTCAGAACTCCTGAAATGTAAATTGTTGCATCCATCACTATGACTAAAATGGTTTCAAATCCATCACAGTGTGAAGAATCTGGACAATCAATAAACAAACTAAGTTACACAGACTGATGAGAAAATCCAAGTTGTGGACCCAGGCAATATTGTATACCTAAATTATACTCCTGCAATGCTGTTATCCAATGGCCTATTGTTTTCTGGATTTTTAAAGCTCATCAACATTTTAGTAGTGCATGGTCTATCTGGATAGTGAAATTTCTACTGTAAACGTGTAGTGGATAGGGTTTTATGGAGATTACAATAAAGAATCTTCATTGTAAAATATCTGCATTCTTGAGCTTCGAGCATGTGATTAGTATACTCAGTCATATTTTTTACCCTTTCTGCAACTGTGATAACACTGCTCTGTTACCACTATTACTGGAATTGGTACCTCACAAGGATAACTCACAACCTTGTTATGGATATGCCAACATTATGGATTTTAGTAAATCACACTTCAGATTCTGGAATGCTTGCTCACACTTCTCTATCTGAAATGTCGGGAATCTTAAAGAAATTGGTCACAAACTATCGGTAGAAGTATGAAATGAAACCAAAACACAAAGAAGCTGCAAACTTCTCATTTGGTCACAGGTTGAGGCTATTCTTACACTGTTACTATTTTAGTAGGATCTGTGGAAATTCAACTTTTGCTTAGGATATGTCTGAAAAATTCTACTTGTGTAAACACCATTGCACATACTCTTGGTTTCAATTTCAAGCCTATCTTTTTATCAATTGAAATACCACTTCCAGGTTCTCAGCCACAGATTCAAATGTGCAATCATACATCAAGACATCATCAATATAGACTAGTCACTTTTCCCATTAAAGCCTCATCCAAAAATCACATAAATGATCTCTCCTGCAATTGCATTGTCATATTTAGCCAACATATCACTGCGTTGCTGCCATTGCATTCAGTATGGAATATCTGTACTATCTTCAAATAACAATCTCAGATGTAGTTGTAACAATGCACTCACTTTTAGAACGCCACTTTTGGATACTAATGTAGTCGGCTGTAGTTAGGTCTGACTGGTATTGGATAACTTTCATACAGAACGTCAGTTCACTGTTTTCAGAGGTACAAATAACAGATAATGTCTGGACAGAGACATCACCAGCAAAGGATACAGCATATAAGGCATGGGAGGACTTGGATAACCCTGACCATTAACTGGGTGGTGTGGCTGCATCAAAGCGCCAGGATGTGTGGGTGGTTGTTTAACTCTCAGTTGCACTCGAGTTTAATGCAGAGCAAATCCTGCGTAGGATAATCTGTCCAATGTACATCTTCCTCTCGAATAGACTGTTCAGTTTTCACTGAATTGAGCCTTTAGTTCAGCATGGCAACTACTGTTTCACACTCTTATAGTTCCACCTAGCTCAAGTGCTCAGTGGAATCTAGGATCTATTTAAATATATTCAAGAGCAAGTATATTGCAGTCTGCTCCTGAAGCCAGGTATCCAAAACAGTTACCTACCTGGCATGCTTCAGGAAATGATCCAAGTCTTCCTTTTCTACACCTTTGATTGTTGATGGTATGGTCTGTTTGCCTCATTAGCAGAGATCCATGAGGGTAGCCAGAATATTTATCTTATGACTTCTCTATCATCATCTACCCAAGATGCTTTCAATGTCATGGGTATAGCATTGGAGTCATGGCCAGAGACTCCAACTCTTGTGTGATTATTCTATCCTTACTTCAGGGCAGCAGAGCAACAAGTTAACATTGGCAGTTTATCCATTAGCATTGTGTGACCCTGGCTCTTCCAGGATCCATAGTCTCCTCAACAGCATACTGCCTGGCTCAGGAAGGCTCACCACTACCTTATGGTTCACCATCTTCACAATTCAATGCCTACCATCTTATCTGCCAATGAGATAGCTGTTAGTAATGGATCTCATCCACTAACAGTATCTCTTGTCTTTCTTGACCATTCTATGGTGGTTTCAACCAGACCTGGGGATGGTACAAGACTGTTGGGAGTTTTATACTGACCCCCTTCACTTGGTCTCAGACTCACGAAATGCCATGCCATTGATCAAAGATTCCCTAACATTGAGGGTTATCCTGGGGGAAGAGCATGAACATAATTTTTGATGCATCAGACATTGGTGGCACTTCTCAGAGTCGTCACCTGCAAAAAGTGTAAGTCATGGACCTTCTCAGCATCACTGAAAGTCTGATGTCTAGGAAAGGACTTCTCCTATACTCGAGAACTTTTACTGGATCATAAAACTCTCGCAGGTGGAACCCTAAAATAAACTAGACTATTTACACCTTACATTACCTAATTAAAATATAATATCAGACTTACCTACATGACTTTCCATTCTAATTGAAAATGAAGGGAGGTTTTAATCTTGAAGTACCACCTGACCTACCATTGGAGAACACTGTTGTCAACATCCTTGCATAATGTGTGGTATTACAGTCGTAACTCCAGGAGCATACCAGGTGTTATCTCAAGAGAATGAGCAGCTTCATGAATTTATTCATCGTGTGTTGTATTAAAATGGCAAAATAGCTATAAAATTCTATACTAAAACAAGAATGTAGAAAATGCATGGATACGTATATATCACAATATTTGCAACATGAGAGAGAAAAGATACGATTAATACAAAAGTACTAGTGTAATGGTATCAGTTATATAAGTCTAGATACAGTAACTAATTATACATATATTACATTTTTTATTAGTAATACTCTAATTTTTTTTCTGTCTAGAAAAGTAAAAGTTTTTGTTTTGACTTTCTTCATGAATAGAAGTTACAAGACTGGCTTATTAGGGTATATAGTTTCACATGAAGGAGTTGGCTTATTAAAGTATATTACTACAGTTTAAGGGGCCAGCGTATTAGAGTATATGGTTACAGCTAACTGGACTGGTTTACTAAGCCACACAGTTTCTGATGAAGGGGCTGGATTATTAATAAGGCTGTAATCTTGTCTTTATATATTCTTAACTGTGACATGAATCTGTTATTCTTTCGTCAACAGGTATGTCAATGTACAGTGATATAATATCACCATTCACCATGATATCCCCTTTGTGAGAGCTGTTCTTGATATGTATCCTATAAGCACTTAAAAAAATCGTCTGAAGTTCTAAGAACTGGCTTGACATTTGTCCTAAAAATGAGACTGTTTCACAGGGTTTGTCGAAAGTCAACTCAATAAATCTCTACAGTTTCATGTAACACATCGAATGAACATACATATCAATGAACACATAAAAAAGTAGTGACTTATCGACCAGATAATTAAAGGTACTTGACCATATGTATTTATGCTTAACCTTTAGTTGCCTCCACCTGTTGGTGTGCATTGTTTTGATTCCTTGTGTGTATATACGAAAGGAATAACTAAAATATTTTCATCTCAAGGTTGAATATTCTTCAGAGTCGAACTGATGAACCTTTAGTGGATGTAGCACAAGATTCAAGATCACACTGAAGGTCAGTTACTTTCATTATAATGGTAACAAATTGAATGATGAAAAGGATTTTGGTATCATAGCTACATTTTTCACAGTAAGGAATTTTTGGTGTATATTTAGAGTGGAGTCTGCAAAAGTTTAAAATATTGTGAAGCAGAGTTTGTAGTGCATAATGTTTTTTTATGTGTTTAGTGAGATATTTTGACAGTTTCTCTTGATTGTCAGTCACTTGGTCGGTCAGTTTATGTCGTGTATGCTGAATCTGTACATCAGTGAAGAAATAGGGACACGAATATTTATTAATGAAGTTACGCCTAGTCGTGAACGATGGTTACGCTAAACGTGGAACTTGAAGTTGAAGAAATAAATTTTTTTGTTACTATTAATTGAACTGAGCTTCCCGTTAATAGTTTTAGCGAATAAGCCCAGAAATATAGCAAATAATAAAAACAATTACACAAATGTATAATTTTTACATTAAAAATATACAAGATAAAGCAACAAAGAAACTGAAAATATATAGGAGTCTGAACTATGTTATTTTGTATAAAAATTTTATTTGTGCAATATTGATATATTAAAACATTTATCATAAACTAAAGCTGTATTTCACTAGAGTTTTCGAGTAGAAAAAGTAGGCAGCATATCCCCTCCTTCTTAGACAACTTTTACAATGGACTTTAATGAACTGCAACTTGCTGTTGAAAGAAAAGGAGACGATGTTTGGGCTTCTATACAGAGGCCTTCTTCTTTTACAATGAAAGATGGTACAACCACTTTTGGCCAAACATTAAAATAACCCAAACCTGATTGATGTAGATATCTGAAGCATAAAAACAAAAATATTGTTTGGTTAAAGAGTGGAGGCAAACTGGTTTGGTTGTGACTTTACTTACCTGCATCAAAGCTGACAGGCCTACTAGCCCTTGATTTTTATGCAGCCTTAAAGCTTCAGTCATGTTGGGATATAAATCTGAGTTGTATCCAATAATCTGCAACTGTATAAAAAAAACTGAATCAACCTCCAGACATCCGAGTATAGTTAAAAAATTTTGCTTTAATCGCTTGATCGTCAATTATTACAGTAGTATGACACTGCTAAAGTATTTTGTATACACAAGTGTTTGCCCTTCTACTTTTCACTGTGATATAGGTCCAGCTTATCTCTCTTTGGTTAACTTGTGTTCAGGGTTAATGATGAGGAGTGGAATTCTCCGAAACTAGTTTAACCCAATAACACACGTTGATCAAATGCAGATTGAACTGGACCTCCCTTGAACTTAGACTTCGAGATTAA